AAAGTTTCGATCTTAGCGAGGCTTAAAAAGGAAAAACGTTTCAATCGAAAATTTGCACATTCAGATGGGAATTAGAATACAACTTGATAATTGATAATTTTCATATTTTAAAGGCAACTATTTATTTCACTACCAGTCTTAGGGATAAGCAGTAAGGACTATTAACAATATGGAAGAAGAAACACTGATGCTGCATGGAGAACGTCGATTCTTTCTAACCTCCGTCGAAATAAAGAGCATATCCTAACCGTTAAAAAACATGTTATATGTCTGTTTCCGAAGTTGTGATTGTTATTATTTGTTTAACACTAAACAAATGACAGCTTTCCAAAAAGAGAAGGTTTGAAGCAGTGAAACAGCACGATCCACTGCGTTCACTGCTAAATCTACCTGTCATGGATTTGTAAATACAACATGCTTCAGCAACAGTGGACCCAGTCCCAACAAAAGTGAGTGAAAATATTCGCTAAATCTTGAAAGGGAATACTCACCAGCTAAATCAAAAAGTGGGTTTGGAATCGAAGCAAATAGCAGAATTCCTGGAAATCCAACTCGTGAAATAAATCGTTCAACCCAAGCCTTTCCACGATCAGTCCAAGACTAAATCCCGGCACATTTATTCAAGCATAGCAATGCAAACAGTAGTACTCACTAGCTCGTCAGCTCCACCCTTTTCAGCGCGCATCAGTTGCAAGAACTCTTTATACTCTTCGTCATCCGGTTCATCTCCACTAAGTCGTGCTGCCCTAGCCATAAAGTATGGAGGAAGTTCCCCAAGTGCCGTACCAGCACCCCATAATAATGATTCAACGCGGACCTGAAATCATTTCAAGATAAACAATTGTAAAAGATAAGTCTCGGCTTCGATCAATCCCCCCGTAGATGTAAGGCAATCAGCGAATGGCAAGGGCCCTCATGCGCAAGCTTTGTTACAATATTTGGTGATGGAATGGTTGAATTAGAACAAACGATTTTTACACTTCTATATAAAACTTGTATGCGTAGCATTCGCAAGTAGAACTGATTGAAACACAAATTTGTCTTCAGATGGAACTTCATGGTAAAAAGTAGAAAGGATTAAATATGTATAATGAAGCAACGAACCTTTGCAACAATCTGCCATAAAGTAATCGCTACAGAAGTAGAAGGGTCAGGCTTGCCATCCGGGCAAACTATTCTGTAAATGAATACATGAAAATGACAGAATCGACAACATTATACATAGATCGAGTTAGATTAAAAAAGAGGAACCCTCCGCTATACGTTTGAATTCTGCTTTATCCCCCTAAGGTTCAAGCACATTACTCATTTAAAAAAATTACATATTCGAAGATCAGAAAGCTTGCAGGTCGCTTGCTAACGGAGTAATAGTTAGAGAACCAAGAAATTTTGCAAAGCCTACAAAATACAAGATAGAGTTCAACTTAACATCTGCTTAGGAGAACGTACTTTTCAAAATTATACTGATAGTACGAGCAACATTTTCTGCCAAAAAACAA